ATTTATTTATCTATGTATTTACTTTTGTCTGCTTGTATCGTTGTGTTTATTTGTTAATTATTGTGAATTAAAGTGGAATAAACAGTGAAAATGTCTTAGAAACGGATGGGCCAGTCTCCGGTTCCATCAGAACCGGGGTTCTGGCCCGTCGGCTCGGTGGTGCGTACCTCTGTTTGCGGCCCGAGCCGCCGCTCTTGTGCTGCGCGGCGGCGTTCTGGTCTGCACACACAAACGGTTTTACTGAGCGTCTCAGCAGAGACCCAAACGGCTGATCCTCCAGCAGGGGGCGCCGTTGGCTGCTCACCTTCAGGTTTTGATTTCTGCTCCAGGACGAAGGAGAACCTGCCGGGTTCGGGAGGAGAAGAGCCGTAACGAGTGTGAACCTGCGCAGGCGGAGCTTCAGCTGCTCTACAAACCTGACGGTTTTTTCCTCATGCAGCTCGGCGGCGGAGCGACCGGCGCCTTGGACCTTGGTTCTGGACAGAGCAAAACTGTCGTGCAGCACCGAGTCCTGAACATGAACACACACACACACACACACACACACACACACACACACACACACACACACACACACACACACACACACACACACACACACTTGACTGAGCGCTCTGCCCTAAAGGACGGATCTGATCCAGACTGCAAGGTTTTCCTGTTCACAGTCCTGAAGCAGCAATTGAGATACAAGGCTTTGACTAGACCACTTAGAAAGATTTCATAAAGTCAGTCTGAGTTTTGGGCCAATCAGAATGCACGGTTCTGTTAATCACTGTAAAGCAGTCCCAGAGCATCACACCCCACCACCGTGTTTGACGGCTGTTGGTTTTATCGGATGAAACTGAAGCAGCTGCAGAATCTGAAGCTTCATGAAGGAATATGGAAAACAAAACAACAAAACCCAAAACACCAGCAAGGGCGACTCGAGGAAGAGGCGGAGCATCCGGCCAGTAATGACTGAAAAAGAGAAGCTTAAAGGTTGAATGCTAAGCTAACGGCTAGCAACTTCCTGCAGAAGAAGAATAAAACTATAAATCTTCTTCTTGCTATATTCTGTGTTTGTTGCTTAAATTCAAAGACAGAGATAATATGGGGACTCGTTAGAAAAATTACAACAAATTTTCTGAAGTAGTTATTTATGTGACCCTGTGGATAAAATAACTGAATATTTGTGTGTTTTTGCAGAGCTGCAGGTACCTGGTCATATCCCAGGTAGCTGCAGCGCGACTTGATCTCCTCCTTCACCACCGAGAAGGAGCAGCAGATCTGATCCGGCGGCGCCTGGAGAGAGACGGGAGGCAGATGCTCAGGGCGCCAGGAGTCTGAGGGCGCCATAGTAAAGACCAAGAAAACATTTATATCTGAACATTTTTGAACTAATAGAAGCTTTTCTTTTAAACAGCAAATGTTTAAAATCCTTTGAATTTATGATTTTTTGCTTATCTTTTTAATCATTTCTTTTAATTTTTTCTTGGCCTATCAGAACTTTTGACGCGACTATTTTGGCTCATGAGACAAAAACTTTGAACACTGAAAAGTTTTAACCTGAAACACTGAATATAACTCCATGGTTATGATCCAACCACGGGGGGCTTCAGGGGGGCTTGAGACGGCCCCGGGCCCCCAGGGGTCAGCCGTACCTGGAGGTCGGTCATCATCTTCCTCAGCTCCTCCAGGCGGCCGCTGAGCCCAGACTGCTGCAGGTTGCTGCTGGCCGCCTGCAGGACGTGGAGACGGTTAGAGGAGGAGGACACGGTGTGACAGGGACAGACCGGGGACCCAGAGGTCAGGGGTCACCACACCTCGGCCTTGATCTGGACCTGCGTCCTGCTGATGATCTTCTGGACCTCCACGATGAACTTCATCTCGCCCTGCAGGGAGGAGAACTTGTCGTCCAGTGGAGCCAAAACCTTGCGGAGCTGCAGAGCAACAGAGACGTTTGGACATGTGAGGACCGGCTGCAGGGACCCAGTTCCCTCAGGACATGGACAGCAGGGACCCGGTTCCCTCAGGACATGGACAGCAGGGACCCGGTTCCCTCAGGACATGGACAGCAGGGACCCGGTTCCCTCAGGACATGGACAGCAGGGACCCGGTTCCCTCAGGACATGGACAGGTTCCCTCAGGACATGGACAGCAGGGACCCGGTTCCCTCAGGACATGGACACACCTGCAGCAGACTCTTGGACTCAAACACCTCCAGCTCAGAGAAGACGGAATCCTCAGTGGAAGTGATTCGCTTCATTTCCTCCTTCATCTTCTTCTGAAACACCTTCACCTCCTGGGGAGCGAAGTCTCCTCCTTCTTTGAACGTCCTGCAGGAGGAAGAGGAGGAGGATGAAGGTCTGTGGTCCTCCTGCTGCCGGAGGCGGAGCTGAAGCTACCTGAAGGACTTCTGCAGCTCCGCCGCTTTCCTCTTGGCCTCCTCCAGGAGGCCGCGGATCATCCGTTTGAAGTTGGCCTGGCAACACAGGGTGTCCTCGCCGTGCCGGTCCAGTTGCTCCTGCAGGGCGGCGCCAAAGTCCTCCAGACTGACACACAGGGCAGATCAGTCTCCAGCTGCAGGCCGGCGGCGGACAGGGGTCAGGTCTTACCGTCTCCTGAACGCCACCTGGAGGACGATCTGGTTGTCCCTCTGTATGGTGATCTGCAGCTCCTGGAGCGCCAGCTTATGGGAGGTCAAAAGGTCAAACAGCTCCAGGTTCTTCTTGTGGATGGAGGCCTGGAGATCGTGGAGCTCTCTCCTGCAGCAGGTCAGGATGTCCGAGACTTCCTGAGAGAAAGTGTCCATATGCTGCCGGTGGAGCTGCAGCTCAACTACACACACACACACACACACACACACACACACACACACACACACACACACACAGACACACACACACACACACACACACACACACACACACACACACACACACACACACACACATGTAAACACACACACAGTTGAAGTCAACTAACTAGCTGGTGTGTGTGTGGTGTGTGTGTGTGTGTGTGTGTGTCTTACGGAGCCGTGGTTCGTATATTCGGGTCCGGATATATTCTGGCGTCAGTGAGAGTTCCTGCTCCAATCGGATCTCTTCCTTCCTTTCCGTCACCATGGTAAGAGCCGAACTGAAAAGGTCTTTGAAGCTCTGCTCGATGTGGTCCAGAACCAGAATCCGGGTCCTGGCGGATCAGACAGACAGGGTGAGACAGGATGTCCCTGTGAGGACAGAGTGGACCGACGGGCGTCCACCTGGTCAGGGTGTGGCTGAGGAGCTCCACAGGAAACAGGCTCAGGTGTGTTTCCTGGATGAAGTCAGGCAGGTCGGGGGCGGGGCATCTGAAGGCGGGGCCGGTGTAGACCACGCCCCCCGTCGATGTGAAGTTGGTGCTGCTGTCGTAGAGTTGGCTCAGCGAGGACGCTGCCTGCACACACACACACACACACACACACACACACACACACAGCTTACAGGTGCATCAGAGTGATGTCACTGAGCCGAGCAGCCAATCAGCTTCACCTCGTTCAGGAACCTGATGGTGCTGAAGGAGAAACCGGCTTCTCTGCTGAGCGACTCGCTTTTCGGGTGGAACATTTCCAAGTGGGCGGAAGATTCTGGAAACACGGAGACGAGGTGAGGCGGGAACGGACCAGTCAAAGTCAGAGCCGGCCCGGGCAGACTGACCCTGGTCCAATCCGGTTCTGGCGCTGGACAGGTCCGCTAGACTCTGAGGAGGAAAAGGTCAGCAGGTCAGCGAGAAACACCGACCTCCATGTGACCTGTACGTTTCCATGGTTACCGCTCTGTGCCGATGGCTGAGTCTGAAGAAGGAGCTGACGGCGTTGCTGTAGGTGTACAGCTCCTCCATGAGGACGGCAGGGAGCTGGTCCAGGAGGTCACACTGCTGGGACACACACGGCCTGGAGCTGGACGGGGGACAGTCAGACAGCTGGACGTCCTCGCTGCTGTGCAAGCGCCGCGCTGCGCCCACCGCGCCGCGCCCGCCGCGCCGCCGTCCCATCGTCCTACCTGTCCTGGACGTCCTTCAGCTGCTCCAGAACTTGCTCCAGACACATGTCCACAACTTCCTGGTTGCTCTCCTGACGCATCGCCGTCAACACGGCTTCCACAGGCGCCATCATCCTCTGGGAAACAGCAAAGCATCATGGGAGGATGCCCACAACCCCTCCCCCTCACAGGTCAAAGGTCAGAGGACTCACCTCCACCAGCTGCTGCTGCATCTGCTTCAACAGCTGCCGCTGTCCCTCCAGCTCGTCTTCTCTCCTCTTCACCCGGCGGCAGTGCGTCTCCCATAGCAAGGCGACGGCGCGCATGACCTCAGACACCCACCTGCTGACCTTGAGGACATGGTGGTCCAACAAGTCACTGCACTCCTGAGGACAGGGGACAGCTAGAGGACAGGTGGACAGACATGGGGACAGACAGAGGGAAGGTTCGTGTGACCAACATCTAAAGCAGCCAATCGCTCTTCGTCGTCTCTCTGGCGTTGGCCAATCAGAGGGAGGAGCTGAGAGGACGCGATGTCCTCCAGCTGCAGGTCAGACAGCTGCAGCATCGACAGCGCCTCCTGCAGGAAGACGACTTTAACTCAATCTGGTTTCTGACAGCAGGAATTTCTGGAAGGTTCTGTTGGAGTTCTGGTTCCGGTCGGTCAGATCTCACCTGGCAGCGCTGAGCCTCGGCCCGGTGACGCTGCCAGGTGTCTTCATAAAACTTCTGCAGCTGCTCTCGAATGTTGGCATGGAGACCAGCTGGAGACAGAGGACAGACATGAGGACAGATGGGGACGGACATGAGGACAGATGAGAATGGACATGAGGACAGATGGGAATGGACACGAGGACAGATGGGAATGGACACGAGGACAGATGAGAATGGACATGAGGACAGATGGGGACAGACATGAGGACAGATGAAGACAGATGAGGGCATGAGGACATATGAGGACAGATGAGGACAGACATGAGGACAGATGGGAACAGACATGAG